ATATTATTTCTTTAAAGCACAATGATCAGATAAAAAATTGAACAAGAAATTTGGCTTTAAGCACAATTAACAAAATAATGATGCGACAACGATCCTATTATTCGATATGCGAGAGAAATGAATGAAGATCTGTAAGAACAAGTTTATAGATTCTGATAAAAAAAATGAATGAATGTATATCAGTCAAAGAAAAGTATCAGAAAAACAGTATTTGAATACAAACGAGTGTATTATCACCGAAAAAGATTTTCGTATAAGAGACGTGATAATAACAGTTTGAAGAATAGCTGAAACAGGTATTGGAGTTATGTATGACGAGAAATTACGCAAGTAAAATCTCATGAAATACCTGTTCAGAAAATATACTCGTTAAAAAAATCATTTTCCAAAAACATTTATTGAACTTTCTAGAGACTCCCTGTAGAAAGTAGATTTCAAAAATGATTCAGTTAAGCTCAAAAAAATAAAAAATTTAAAGAAAACATTTTAAGTACGGGTTCTAAACTGTGTGTTTAGAAACCACAATCGGTAGAGCACGGGTCCTGAACTGAAATGTTCAGAAGCCTTATTTGGAATAAATTACAACTCCCCCTGCATTGGTGTATCACTGAAATGATATTCTGATCAGCACAAAATTGACACACCTGCAAAACCGGATTAAGTAGATTTTGGTACCTAAACAAACTTGGGTCCTATTTTGTTAGTATCGGGTTGGGGTATGTTGAAATTTCCAAACCATTTATTTCTATAAGATATTTCCTTTTCAGCACTATTAATAGGATGATTATATACATAATATGATCCATGTCAGTTATTATAATCATACATGTTCTTACCTTTCCAATTGTTCTGATAGTTGTTATCTCCATGCCACCTGTTGAACCTTTTGTTATTGACAAAATTATTGGTTCTGCATGTTGAGCACATAATTCTTCTCTTGCTAAGATTGATCAGATCATTAATGGATCTCACAATGCAAGGAAGAACAGAGTTAGTAACAACAGATGTATGAGATAAAACAGAATCAGCTTTATTAACCCAAATGCTTTTACATTTTGAATGATAATTGGGTGATCCAATGACATACCCTTGATAATACTGATTAGATGTAACATACCCTTAACGAAAGATGTTTTCTGCAATTTGAAGGTTTGAAACTAGGTTTAGAATCATTTATGAGGTGTTAGAAGTGTTGGAGAAATTTTACGCGATTCCGATCAAAAAGTSAAATCTTAGAATTAAGTAAAGTAAACGTCTAAGTTACGAATAAGTAAAACTGCTTTTATTGRGAGATMTTTTCTGAAATATTTTTATTGGAAGTTGTAGATTATCTCGTTACGAACACGTAGGCGAAAACCTCATCGAAAACGAAGTTCCGAGCGAAAAGTTATGCTATTTTTAGTGTTTAGTGGTCAAAAATGGGTACCCAGCCGGGTCAAACCCGACCCAACTCGGGTTTTAGCTAATAAAACATGATTTTTGACCCATTAAGACCCCATTTCAGCTACTGCCTTCTCTAAGAAAAATTAGGTTACGATTCTTATCAATGGAGACCAAATCTAACTTCATACTAAGGAGATTAACATCAATCTTGAAGGATTAAGCAACAATTTGAAGGTAAATCTCATCCTTGTTCTTGTTCTTGAAGTTGCATMAAGTATGATAGTATTTGGGTGAGATAAGCTTAATGCATGTTTAAAATAAGTGAAGAAATCATGAATTGATGCTTAGATTATGATTATACATTCGTTGGTTCCTTGATTCCATAATTGATTTGCAAGAATTGGTAAGGAAATTTGACTTTTGTTATATAAAGATGGGTTTTGGTGAAATTGGTAGAGATGGGTGAATTACCATGGTTTTCTTGTTAATTTTACCTTGATAATGATAAATTTAAGTTAACATCTGAATTTGGTTAGGATTGTAATGGAATTGGATACTTAATTGGACAAAGGTGAGATTTTTGGAGTTTGAAAACCATGTTACTGCACTGTTTTAGAAAACATATATCAAATCATAGAAAAATTAGAAAAATATGAGGTCAGTGGCATCGGAAAGCTAGGAATGTGTACTTTGTTTCGTATTTGTACATCGAAATCTAATTCCAAATATAGGATGACTAAACAGCGTCATCTTTTCAGTGCGGTTAAGCTGATTTTTGACAGCCTTCTGCTGTTATATTATAAAATTCATAGAAAATTGTAGAAAAATCCTAAAAATCAATAAAAATAGGCTCTAGAAAGGTATGAGAAAGGGCTACAATTCATATTTGGAAGTCATTTGATGATTTTGAGTTTAAGGTGGGAAAAACAGGTCTGAAAGCAGGTGCAATATAGTGAAAACAAAGTAGAATGCTTGAATTAAAAAGGGTTAAATATGTGTTATTGTTGTGCATTGCTAATGGAGATCTATATATGAACTCCAGGTGGTATTTAAGCATAATTGAAGGCCTTGGAAGTGTTCTCCAATCATTGAACAAGAGTTGAGATTCAACTTTTCGGTTTGGCTTTCGGTTTGATTAACCGAACTTATTTAACAACATTGTGAGTTTATGTGGAGATATGTGTTACTTTGTGGTTATATATGCTTATATGCTTTACTTTTCTTCCATGAATCATGTTAGATCTTGGATATCCCCTTGAATTGTCAAATTGCTTCTTTTGATCATTGTGATGTGTTTTGGGTGCCGATTGTCGATATTCCATGGAGTCCGGTGAGGCAATCATAGGGGCTGCCGTACTCACTGCCCAGTGGGAGTCAGGGGGTGAGTATAGGACTTTGGTGTAATCCGGGAGAGGAAGGACGGATTCGGTGCCAAGTCTTATGAGTTGTGTGAAAGTTAATTGGTATTTGAACTTACATGATCTCGAAAAGAATAATGTTGATCGTATCGATGTTTTCTTGATGATTCCCTCGTTGAAAGTACATTTTATACATAACTTTGTGTGGTATAATTACAATGTTTCTTTGGTACTATGCAAACTTGCTTTCGAGTACTTCTTCGTTTCCTAGTATGTATGCTTATATAATGCTTTGTAACCGCATATTTTCACCTGAATTCACTAAGCTTTATAGCTTACCCTTTTAGTGGTTTTAACCTTTCAGGGAAATTGGGCAAAAGTAAAAACAAGGTCGAGTGATCGATAGGAATTTGCAGGTGAAGGCTGCTTTTGGTTTAGGTATATATAAATATGTATATTAAACTTTTGGGATTGTAAATAGTTAGTATGTTCCGGGTAGATATGTCCCTGATGATCACGTTATGTAAACTTTAAGTATTAAATTATGTGTCTTGGGCTCTATATCGTTATCCCGTAATTTGAGGTTTTTTTTYAAAACTAAATTAATTTAATGGTGGTTCGGTAATTGTTTGTTATGTAACCGTGGTGTTACAAATATGGTATCAGAGCAGTGATTTAAGTGAACTTGGTATCTATATCGGTATCTAGACTTAAACTAGGCGTTGATGTTATATAGTAACTAAGCAATGATTTATACSSGATATGRACYATTAAGAGAGACCAAAGTTAGGTAAGGGACCATGGATAGGATGTTGTTTAATACTCTATATGTTTTAATACTCTCTATATGTATACACCTTTTAGGACGATGGCCGATGATGATGTTGTTAGTCACACTCCAACAAACCCTAATGTTGGAGAAAACGATCCCGACCTCAACTTGAATGAGGATGATACACCCTTGTCTCCCCGTGGTGAACGATTAATGAAACGACTCTCCACATTCGTTCAACAAACCTTTGAACAGTTTAAGCATGACACAGGAAAAGGTAAAGAGAAAGTCTTGGGTGATTCCTCCAAAGCCAAATCTGAGAGGGTCTCGTTTAAAAACTTTCATAGTGGCGGCGCTACTGAATTCACCGGACTCTCTGATCCAATAACCGCAGTGCAATGGATCCAAAACACCGAAAAGGTATTCTGGATTTCTCGAGTGTTAAACGAGGATAAAGTGAATTATGCCAGTGCAATGTTGACAGAACGTGCACTCACTTGGTGGGATGCAACTTTTGAATCCCTTACTGAAGATGAACTGGAAAGCTTGACTTGGGAGTCTTTCAAGACTCGTTTCTTTGAGCAATTCTGCCCGATCGACTTGCAACAGAGGCTTGAGACTACATAAATGAAGTTTTTAAATATGCTTTCTAAGAACGTAAACGTGAACGGTTTAAGTCGGATACAAATACGTCGATATCCTTGTCTGAACTCCCACCCTCCGCAACGGCTTCTTTAGTCAAATCCCTCCATTTCTTTGCATTCCTCCTTGCTACAACTCCTTGCTCGCCATCCATAATCGCCTTTATACCCGACACCAGATTTACTCGCTTCACGATCCCCTTCTCGTCACGCTTAACCCTTATTCCGACACCCCAAATATCCTCAAGGCACTTGGCATTCGTTATTTGATCTGTCCATTGCGGCATTGCAATGACGGGTACTCCCAAACTTACTGCTTCAAGACTCGAGTTAAATCCACAATGTGTAACAAAACATCCGACCGCCTCATGTGACAACACCTTTAGTTGCCTACACCATGCCACAACCAAACCCTTTTTGGTTTCCCGATCTACAAACCCTTTCGGGAGCTTTTCCTCTTCCGATGCCCTCACAACCCACAAGAAATTCAAGTCACTATCTTTCAAACCCCATGCAACTTCTTCCATTTGTTCGGGTACAAGCTCTCCATAGCTCCCAAACGCCACATAAACAACTGATCCCTTTGGTTTATCGTTTAGCCACTCCATGCATTCGTTATGGTTCGGTTTGATGAGATTGACCCCGTAGTCGTTGTCATATTGTAATCGCCGATCAAGGTACATTGATGGAATCGTTGGCCCGATAACCCTTAATGGCCACAATGTTTTCATCCATTCGATCACCTAAATCAAACACAAATCATAAAAAGTGCATAATCGACGGATCTTATAAGGGTATATCACCAATATATATCATGTCGTAAAAAAATTTACGACCCTTAAATATACAACCATTATAATATGTTTTGTGCTACCTCTCCAAGGAACATTAAAAAAAATTGAAAGTCTATTATATCGTAACTTAAATTTAATTAAGCTATAAAAGTTGATGATAATGAAATTTTAAATCGTTGAAATTGCATCCATTTCTCGGTGTTTGTATTGTTATTTGTAACTAATAAAATCTTATTTTTTATAATTATCTTTAATTTATTTTATAAATTTTATTATGATTTATTTTGGAGTCAACTACAAATATGGTCCGAGTGGTTTGTTGGAAATAACATTTTTTTTATCTATACAGATTCAAAATTACAAGATCGTCATTATGATTTATAATAACGTTTGAATTTAGTTTCTCCTTTAACCATGATTAAAGACTTCTATTAAATAAGCAACATTTTCATCATTTTTTTCATGTATTTTACTTATTCAAAGTTGATTTTTGATTTTGATCCTTGTAGGTTTTAATCGGGTAAAAGACAAAAATATCAATAAATGACGAGGATGTCCCATGTTTAAAGTAAGTTTTTGATGATTGTTTGACTAAGAGACCAAATTCGGATGTTTTTACAAACCATGATAATCATCTTGTAATTTCAAACTGAAATAACGAAAAATGTTATTTTTTACAAACCACAAGGACCAACTTTGTAGTTTACTCTTTATTTTATTTCATGATCATATTGATAACTAACCGAACAAAAAAGAAACAAAAACCCACCTCTTCTTCCAGTTTGTAGAACGTATTGGAGAAAACCCAACGTGTTTGATCGAAATTAGAGAACTGATTGAAAACAATGTGAGACCAAGCAGGGTATGGTCCAGGATTTTGAACAAAAGATGGCGTCTCCCAATATTCAAGCTCCGGCAATCCAGGAACCGAAACCGTCGAATCCGCTGGGATTGACAGGATTCCCTTATAAACTTGATAATATATGTTATTTACAGCACAAGCTTGAGTAAGAAAAGCACCGCCATCGATTCCGAACTCCATGGCCACATCCAAAGTCCAATTGATAAACGAATCATAGACGATGGCATCAATGGTGGTTCCTTCACTATGAAACTTTCTGATCACATCTGCAAGTGATTTCGACCCAACTTCACGGAACGATTCGAGGTAGATCTCGGAACTGCCTGCAGTTGCAAAGCCACCCACGTCAAAGCCATCGGAAATCGATACTATTGGAATGGTGTTGTGGGAGTGATTGGAGAGGATGGAGTTGGAGACGAAGATGGTGGTTATGAGTGTTGTTTTGACACCTTTGGAGATTAATCTTTTGGCGAATTGGATTAAAGGATTTATGTGACCTTGTGATGGGAACGGGAAGAGTAAAACATGAGGTGGTTTTTTGGTTTTATCTTCTGCAGCCATTGTTGTTTTGTGAGAGGAAAGCCTATGATACTTGGAGGTCATATATTGAGTGTGATGACGTCATGGCTTATGTCACCATCATTGGATTTCCCTGTATCGTGTTAAAAAGAGTAATTTAAAGATGCGAATTGACATACGACACTACTACTTTTAACAGAACCTCTAAACAAATAGAGTAAATTAGGCTTTTTGGTCTACAGTACCTTTTTGAAATTTCCTAACATCCGCAGCCATGATCACCTACGTACATTTGTAAAATCAACCTACGTACATTTGTAATATCAACATTGATTTTTTCTTATATATCTACAAAACTTTCATTTTTAATCATGTATAGACAGCGCTGGCCCAAGTGACGACTACCCAGGGCAACAAACAACCCATGTGCATAAGTTTCTGAAGCCCATTTAGGTTCATTTTAGGTTGGGCTTAAAAACCTTACTTTTAGTAATCCACTAATCTGTATATAGACCAAGGGCCAAAGGGCATCGACCGCTCATCTCCCTCGGCCTTGCTTCAAGAATGAAGTACGAACGAACTCTCGATTCCCATTTCCTAACCTCGCTCTTGGCCTCTCGCTCTCGTTTCTGACTTTCTGTTTCTGAGTTCTGAGACCTCTAGCTCTCGGCCTCTCGCTCTCGACCTCGTTTCTGGAACTGGTTGTGAGGTTGTTTGATTGTCTCATGTCTGGGTCTTGACGGCTTGACCTTGTTTTTGGAATCTGGAACCAGAAGTCCAGGGAACTTGCTCTATGCCTCGGTCACTCTCGCTCATCTCTGTTTTGTTTGGTAAACTCCTATTCTTCTACATTTTGATTTATAATTTTGTATGTTTAATGTTTATTGTTTAGTTTAGATTAGGGTTATTTTATGATTTCTAATTCTTGTTTGATTTGATCACTTTATGTTTGAATATTTATGTTAAAGACTTTAGTTTAGCTTAGATTAGGATTAGATAATTTAGATTGTTATTTGAAGATTTCATCTTTTGTTTAGATTAGGGATTTAGGGTTATTTTGTTTAATTGTTTATTTATGTTAGGGCCATTTAACTTATTTTGTTTAATTTAAGCTTACCCAAATTCTTATTGTTGATCATCTCTCTCATGGATTTGATAATAATCTCTTTTACTTTATACAAAGTATTATTGTTTCTGTCTTTCAATTCTAGCGATTATCACTGAGTCTATTCAGTGATCGCTGAGACATGTAATGTAAATCCATCAGCGACAACAATACTTCAAGAAGACAAAACTCACAACAAAGAACCTTCAGTGAAAGTCGAAGACTGAAACTGAAGATTAGAGACTAGCGTGTTCGTGATCTGAAACGGCATTCAGTGATCACAACCTGGTCAATATATGTGTGAATACTGTCCAAGCCTCAACGAATGCTAAAGAGACCTTCAGGGTTATTCCTGCATTCAGTGATCAAATGAAGCTTGTTGAGCAAGATTGTTTTTGTCTTGTCCTTCCACACACAAAGGACAAACCCATACTCTTTCTAGAGTATAGTACGATACAGAGCCAATTAGTTGACTTTACTACCCACCAACTCCATGAAATGATGTCTGCTCATGAATAGACTTTTGTACTATTCACTGTAGCAAAGGACAAGCTTTTCTCTAAAAGCTTGATACGTGTTCAAACCCTACTGCATTGCATTAAATGTGCATTTAATGCAATGGGTATAAATAGATGTGTGCTATCTCCATGCAGAGATACCTAACCCTAATTCTTACGTGCATACGTGAAAGAACACACACATATCTAAGAACACAATACACTTATCTTCAAGCAAGTTAGAATCCCTTTCCAAGTATTCTAAATAGTTCTTACCCAGAAAGAACTCATTTTCTTCTTAGGGGCTGTTTGTTTGGCTCTTAATGGTGACATTAAGAGCTAACCTCTTAATCGGTAAGAGGTCAAGGTTGTTTGGCAAAAAAATGGCTCTTAATGGTTACATTACCCCTCTTAACCATTTTGCATCTAAGGTTCCACTAAACCATTCAGATTTATATTTTTCCAACTTTGTCCTCTCTACTCTCTCTACCCACCGTTCCTTCCCACTCCCCCCTTTTCCGTCACCTTCATCGCCTTCACCAGGATCTTTCTATTTTGACGTCTTCACCATCTCTGGATCTCTTGAACCCGTCGCCTTCGTCCCCTTCCCAAGGTCGGCCGGTTGTCGCCGGTGACCTCCATCGTCTCCATCGCCTCCATCACCGGCGACCTCCATCGTCTCCATCAACATGATTCAAATCTTAAGTCTCCATCAACATGATTCAACTCCAGAGCCACTGCAAATGCCTATGGGAGTACCTGTGTACCAAGACGAATCGAAGATAACACCACGTATTCTTCACCGTCTGTATTCACAACGTAAACCCTAGAATTATCGATTAAAGGCTAGAAACACCGATTTCTTGGGAAGAATCGAAGAACACGAAATCCTATTTTTGGTATTTGAAATTTTAGATTTTGATTTTGATTTTTAATTTTGAAAGGGATTCTGTGTAGATAGAAAAGGGATTGAGGCGAGTAGGAGGGGAGATAGAGGGTTGCATGCTTCATACACCCCATGGTGGAAAAATGGCTTAGAACTCATGTTTTGGAAATCAAGAAGAAATTTCAAGATTTACAGAAGTTTCTGTAGATAACACCTCAAAATGCTTACAAAATTCGTACCTTAAACCTGTTTTGCGTTTTTGGAAGAGATGAACTCGACTTGCACCATGAAATTACCTGATTTCTTCGACAATATTTGTTAGGATCAAGCACTTACCACTACGCTAAAAACAATTGCCTTGGTGAAGGCGCAACTTTATTTCCCTTATAGCGTAGCAGCCAGCGCCACGTTTCAATTTAGGAAGATGCTGGTCCATGACCCAACAATCCCCCCCAGCATCTGCCAGCACTAACAAGAGCTTCGCTAGAAGTCAATGGCTGCATAACATGCCTTTCTCATAATTATGCACACCTTGGGCATATTATGCACACCATGGGATTCGAACCCGTGACCTGCTCTGATACCAATTGTTAGGATCAAGCGCTTACCACTACGCCAAAAACAATTGCCTTGGTGAAGGCGCAACTTTATTTCTCTTATAGCGTAGCAGCCAGCGCCACGTTTCGATTTAGGAAGATGCTGGTCCATGACCCAACAATATTTCATTCAATACTAAATTATACATAGGGTTAAAATGGTAATTTGTTGTCATTTAGAGAACAGTTACCAAAGAACATTATTTCATTCAGCACTTAACCATTCTTGCCCTCTTAACCATTCTGACCACTTAACCATTCTGCACCAAATCATTCAGCAACTGCCAAACAACCCCTTAGTCTTAAACAACAAATCTTTTCTCTTTGCTAAGAACTTTTGTGTGTAACTTAGATTGTTTAGATATGTTATATTTACCTTATCTTATTCCGCATACAATCTTGTAAAAGCTGTATTGATCCTTCTTTATCAATATATATTTTATATTTGAAAAGTTTAATGTGTTTGTATTCATCCCCCCTTCTACAAACTGTTTCTAAATATCTTGTAGACCTTAACGGGACCAACAAGTGGTATCAGAGCAATGTTTTCTTTTCTTGTTGTTTAGTTGTTTTTCTGCATTATATTATCTTTTTCTCTAGATAATTTTACTGCTTTCAAATGGCTTTACAAAACACAAACACACACTTTCATGACAATGACTCTCTTGCCAAACCTCCCCGATTTATCCGAGACAACTTTAGTCTTTGGAAGAATCGAATGTCCCTCTTTCTAGAAGGTGTGGATCCTGAAATTCCACACTACATAGAAAATGAACCATATGTTCCATACGCTATTTCTCTGGCTGTTCCTAAATTAGCTACGACTGCCGCGATTCCTGAATGGCAGATTCCAAAGCTCCCTCATCAATGGAGCGATGGAGATAAGAAGAAGATAGCTATAGACACTCGTGCTAGGTCTATAATAGCTATGTCTCTTCCTGATGAGGTTTATCATTCTGTAATGAAGCTAAGAACCTCAAAATCCATGTGGAACACTCTATGTGTTCAATATGAAGGAACCTCTCAGGTTCAAGAATCGAAGAAGATTAATTTAGTAAGACAATATGAAAGCTTTCTTTGTGAAAAGACTGAAACATTGTCTGAAGTACACCAACGATTTAATTGTCTTCTTATCGATTTAAGGACTGTCGGTAGGGAATATTCCAATTTTGAAACTTTAACGAAGTTTCTAGAATGTTTACCTGAGTCTTGGGAAACTTATGCCATGTGTCTCAAGATGTCTAATGACACGTTCTCTCTCTCTCTCTCTCTCAGCACTCTATATGGGATACTACTCAATCATGAGTAGTCTCGACAGTTGAAAAGGATTCTAATCAAGGATTCCAGAGAAATGAAGAGCTCTTCGTTAGCTCTGATCTCTGAAGATACTTCAATTGAACTCCCATCTTCTTCTTTTTTAGTTCTTCCTCCTGTTGTTATCACTGAGTTAGATTCTACTAACTCTAAGGATCTATCAGAGTCTGATCTTGCAGACTTTGATGAATCACTGGCGCTGTTAACTAAATTTTTTTGACGATTCGCCAAAAAAGTAACTTCTGCAGATCTCCTTCGCTGATCATCAAGGAAAAGCCAAAGTCAGATAATATTGACAAGGCTTCAACGATCTGCTATAATTGTCATCACACGTGTCAATTTGCTTGTGGGTGCAGGTGTAAGAAGGCTGTGACACCATCTTCTAAAACTTCATCCTCCTTCAGATCTAAGGATGACAAATACCTAAAGCTAAAGGAGAAGTACAAAAAGATGAAGAGTTCCCAGTGAAAGGCCAAAGGTCTTGTCGTTAAAGAGCATGACTGGGCTGATTCGTCTGATGAATCATCATCTGATGAGGAAGACACGACCTATCTCTACTTGATGGCCAAGGATGTCAAAGAAAAAGCTTCTGAGACGTCAACTTCTCATGATCACTCATCATCATCTCTTGCTCAGGTATGTCT